CACCCCCAAAACAAAAAAACAAAATAAACACAACAAAACACAATAACAAAAAACACAAACAAAAAATCTCATCCAATTTAAAAACAACCAACAATAAAAAAAAACACCCAATAACCACAACCAAACATCCAACACACCACAAATAAAAAAATATAACAACAAAAAAACCAAACAAAACACCAAAACCCTAAACCCACAATTTATAACAACACAAACTTAATATATAAATCAACCTTTACCCACATCTATAAAATCACCCCCCAAAACACATACCCACTATAGCTCGAACCCCCCCCCCCCCACCACAACTTAAACTATATACCAAATTACCACCCCCACGTATATTGCTTTATACACTTACACAGCCACAGGTGCTTGCGTGGTCGCTTCTTTAAGGGCCCCCCCCACACACATCGGATCAACATTATTTAATACAAACACCCACAAACATTCCCACACCCACACACACCTATAAACAAAACACACAACATTTGACTTGGTCTTACACTCACACACAAATCCCGGACGACCCATATATATTATATATCGCCTAATACAACATGTATTGTTTGTGGGAACTCAGTTGCTCTTCAGCTAGTGTAGAGCTTTTGAGAGTGATGTAAAGTTCACTCCTTTCGCTCGCTTTTAAGGGCCTTGTTTCCTCCACCATGCTGTTCCTAGTGTTGTTTATCCCCCAACAAAGCCCCGTTGTTTCCTGTCTCTCAATCTAAGCCTCTTATGGACTACCACTCCTGCCGGGTGGAGCCCTCCTGAATCTCCTAAACCATACTAGAAAACTAGAGCAACTCCTGTCTTCCAGTCCCCCTCTTGATTGTAGGTCCCTGGCCATGGTGATGACCCCCCACAGCATATACCAACCAATAATGACAATACACACCCACTCCTGCTTATATAGGTTATACACCCACATACATCTTGGGGTGAAGACTACCATAATACCTCCACACAACACTATAATATCTCTATATAACATTGTGTGGGGGAATCCCACCTTCAATGGGATAGGGGTGTGAGCCCTCCCACTACCTCATCTATAAGACCCCCCACCTTACATAACAAAGCTTCCCACACAGGGGTATCCACCATCAAACAAAACAACGATTCAGCCTCTTGGCTTACACTCAGCTTGATGTCTGTCTCCTGCAGACTTCTTCAGGAATTATGGCTCTTGCACACAGCTAGTCTCTAGCAGCTCCTTGCTGCTTTTGGCTTCCCACCTCTCCTAGGTGAAGCCCACCTGACTCCTGTCTTCCAGGTGGAGCCCTCCTGACTCCTGTCTTCCAGGTGGAGCACCTCCCTCCTGACTCCTGTCTTCCAGGTGAAGCCCTCTTCTGACTCCCTGTCTTCCAGGTGGAGCCCTCCTGACTCCTGTCTTCCAGGTGAAGCCCTCCTGACTCCTGACTCCTGTCTTCCAGGTGGAGCCCTCCTGACTCCTGTCTTCTGGTGGAGCCCTCCTGACTCCTGTCTTCCAGGTGGAGCCCTCCTGACTCCTGTCTTCCAGGTGAAGCCCTCCTGACTCCTGTCTTCCAGGTGGAGCCCTCCTGACTGAAGCCCACCTGACTCCTGTCTTCCATCCCTCCTGACCCCGGGGTGGAGCCCAGAACCCTGATCCTGACTCTCTGAAAAGACCTGCACACACCTGTGCAATCAGTCTCTCCTGGCCATTCCCAAAACCTGGTCCCAGATTGGAGATTTCATCCCTCCCAGATCTCTTTGAAATCTCCAGGCTCCAGATCCCAAACAGACCTTACAAAAGGAGGAAAGTGAAAAGCCACTTTCCTCCGTATCAAACACTTACCCTGGAGCCCCTCAACCTGCCTTGTTGAGAATCCTGGGTGACAGATCGTCACACTGTCACAATATATACACACACACACACATACACTCATACATACATATATATATATATACACAGTGGGGCAAAAAGTATTTAGTCCCCACCAATTGTGCAAGTTCTCCCACTTACACAAGATGAGAGAGGCCTGTAATTGGCATCATAGGGAGACCTCAACTATGAGAGACAAAATGAGAAAAACAAATCCAGACAATCACATTGGCTGATCTGGAAAGAATTTATTTGCAAATTATGGTGGAAAAATAAGTATTTGGTCACCTACAAACAAGCAAGATTTCTGGCTCTCACAGACCTGGACCTTCTTCTTTAAGAGGCTCCTCTGTCCTGCACTCATTACCTGTATCAATGGCACCTGTTTGAACTTGTTATCAGTATAAAAGACACCTGTCCACAACCTCAAACAGTCACACTCCAAACTCCACTATGGTGAAGACCAAAGAGCTGTCGAAGGACACCAGAAACAAAATTGTAGACCTGCACCAGGCTGGGAAGACTGAATCTGCAATAGGCAAGCAGCTTGGTGTGAACAAATCAACTGTGGGAGCAATAATTAGAAAATGGAAGACATACAAGACCACTGATAATCTCCCTCGATCTGGGGCTCCACGCAAGATCTCACCCCGTGGGGTCAAAATGATCACAAGAACGGTGAGCAAAAATCCCAGGACCACACGGGGGGACCTAGTGAATGACCTGCAGAGAGCTGGGACCAAACGTAACAAAGGCTACCATCAGTAACACACTACGCCGCCAGGGACTCAGATCCTGCAGTGCCAGACGTGTCCCCCTGCTTAAGCCAGTACATGTCGGGGCCCGTCTGAAGTTTGCTAGAGAGCATTTGGATGATCCAGAAGAGGATTGGGAGAATGTCATATGGTCAGATGAAACCAAAATAGAACTGTTTGGTAGAAACACAACTCATCGTGTTTGGAGGAGAGAGAATGCTGAGTTGCATCCAAAGAACACACCATACCTACTGTGAAGCATGGGGGTGGCAACATCATGCTTTGGGGCTGTTTCTCCGCAAAGGGACCAGGACGACTGATCCATGTACAGGACAGAATGAATGGGGCCATGTATCGTGAGATTTTGGTGCAAACCTCCTTCCATCAGCAAGGGCATTGAAGATGAAACGTTGGCTGGGTCTTCCAACATGACAATGATCCCAAACATACCGCCCGGCAACGAAGGAGTGGCTTCATAAGAAGCATTTCAAGGTCCTGGAGTGGCCTAGCCAGTCTCCAGATCTCAACCCCATAGAAAACCTTTGGAGGGAGTTGAAAGTCTGTGTTGCCCAGCGACAGCCCCAAAACATCACTGCTCTAGAGGAGATCTGCATGGATGGAGGATGGGCCAACATACCAGCAACAGTGTGTGCCAACCTTGTGAAGAGGACTTCCAGGAAACGTCTGACCTCTGTCATTGCCAACAAAGGATATATAACAAAGTATTGACATGAACTTTTCATATTCACCAAATACTTATTTTCCACCATAATTTGCAAATAAATTCTTTCCAGATCAGCCAATGTGATTGTCTGGATTTGTTTTCTCATTTTGTCTCTCATAGTTGAGGTCTCCCTATGATGCCAATTACAGGCCTCTCTCATCTCTGTAAGTGGGAGAACTTGTACAATTGGTGGGGGAACTAAATACTTTTTTTGCCCCACTGTATATATATATATACACACACACACACATATATATATATTTAGATGTTATAAATATATAACCCCTCGCCCCTCCAGAGGATTCCCTCCCCCCCCCCCCCCCCCTGACCAGGCAATTTTTCCCGTTACAGCGCTGCGTTAATTTAACTGACAATTGCGCGGTCATGCAACGCTGCACCCAAATGAAATGAAATTTACGTCCTTTTTTTCCCACAAATAGAAATTTTCTTTCGGTGGTATCTGAATGACTGTGCGTGTTTTTTTTTTTGTGCTATAAACAAAAAAAGACCGGCAATTTTGAAAAAAAGAAAATATTTTTTTGCTATAAAAAACATGTCCAGAAAAAAACGTAACCACTTTGTACCGGCGCTTCCCGACCCTTTAATCACTTCCAGTCCGGACACTTCCCCCCCCTTCCAGTCCGGACACTTCCCCCCCTTCCAGTCCGGACACTTTTCCCCCTTCCCAGTCCGGACACTTTCCCCCCCTTCCAGTCCGGACACTTCCCCCCCCCCACTTTCCCCCCCCTTCCAGTCCGGACACTTTCCCCCCCCCTTCCAGTCCGGACACTGTCCCCCCCCTTCCAGTCCGGAACACCCCCCCCTTCCAGCCAGTCCGGACACTTCCCCCCCCCTTCCAGTCCGGACACTTTCCCCCCCCCTTCCAGTCCGGACACTTTCCCCCCTTCCCCGGACACTTTCCCCCCTTCCAGTCCGGACACTTTCCCCCCCCCCCCCTTCCAGTCCGGACACTTTCACCCCCTTCCAGTCCGGACACCCCCCCCCCCTTCCAGTCCAGTCCGACACTTTCCCCCCTTCCAGTCCAGGACACTTTCCCCCCTTCCAGTCCGGACACTTTCCCCCCTTCCAGTCCGGACACTTTCCCCCCCTTCCAGTCCGGACACTTCCCCCCCTTCCAGTCCGGACACTTTCCCCCCCCCCCTTCCAGTCCGGACACTTCCCCCCCCCTTCCAGTCCGGACACTTTCCCCCCCTTCCAGTCCGGACACTTTCCCCCCCTTCCAGTCCGGACACTTTCCCCCCTTCCAGTCCGGACACTTTCCCCCCCTTCCAGTCCGGACACTTTCCCCCCCCCCCCCCCCTTGCCCCCCAGGCCAATTTTCAGCTTTTAGCGCTATCACACTGTGAATGACAATTGCGCGGTCATGCATGCAACACTGCACCCATATGAATTTTTTAGCATTTTTTTGAGACAGATAAAGCTTTATTTTGGTGGTATTTATTCCCCGCTGGGATTTTTATTTTTTTTTGCTATGTAAATGAAAAAGTCCAAAAATTTTGAAAAAAAAGTGTTTTTCTTACAAAATTTTGCAAATAAATAATATTTCATCATAAATCTTGCCCAAAATTTATTCAGTTATCTTTTTAGTAAAAAAAAAAAAAAACCCAAATTAGTTTATAACCAAACATTATAATTTTTAAACATTTTTTTTTTTTACATTTTTATTTTATTTTTTATTATTATTTTTTTTTTCTATCTACTGTCACCCTAGGAGTGCGGTGTTACCATGGTGACACTGTCCTACTTGTCGGGGGTGAGGAAGATTTTTTTTTTTTTTACACGGATTGCTTTTACACCCATAAAGGCTGTAAGAGGAATCATTTCTCCTTCTCTCTGGCTGCATTCCTGCAGCCATTGAGAACTACTGTGTGAGCTGTGATTGGTCACAGCTTGTCACATGGTACAAGGCTGTTGTGAATAGCCCTGTACCATGTGACCTCTGTGATCATTCACAGATTTCACACGTAGCAAGCAATGTTGTCAGAAGTGACATCTTGATTACTACTGTTCATGTGATCACTGATTGGCCAATCAGTGATCACATGATCGGGACTTCGCAGAGAGGTCCCGTCCGACGATCGGTGTTCCACTGTGTCCTGTGTCCCAGGGAGCGCGCACAAGCAGGGGGCTGGGAGGTCGATTATAAACGTCCACCCGCCCCTGCACTGCCACCTTCTGGCCGTTAATATACAACATCCGGAGGGGAGGTGGTTATGAGTTTCAGAAGCCGGGAGGCGTTTTAGGGTCATGTGACCGCCGTGATTCGCCGTCATGGCGGTCACATGTTCGGAAAAGGTCCCGATCGAAAGGGGAAATCGGGACCTTTCCGTGAGTCGCGGACACGTGTTGGGAGTGTGCAGGGCGCGCGCTCTCAGCACATATGTATTTTCTAATTGAACGCAGATATGCGGCCACTCGGCGTCAAGGGGTTAAAAATAAAATTTCATCATAAATTTCGTCCAAAATGTATTCCGCTCCGTGTCTTCGCTGAAAAAAAATCCCGATACGTGTAAATTAATTGGTTTACGTAAAGTTATAGCGTCTACAAATGGCGGGATAGATACTGGAAATTTTTTTTTTTGTATACTAGTAATGGTCGGCGATCAGCGACTTATAGCGGGACTGCAGTTGGCATTCTGAAACGAGGGGGGGGGGGGGAAACTAACTTGGTGTCACTGACATCCCCAGTGACACCAATACAGTGATCAGTGCTAATAAAAAACACTGACACTGTACTAATGGCACTGGGCAGGAAGGGGTTAACATGAGGAGTGATCAAAGGGTTAACTGTGTGCTGGGTTACCAGTTAGACATGCTGTGCAGAGAGATACAAAGCAGCATGTCCTTGCTGACAGGGGAGAGACCTGTGTTGTTTGCATACAGACCTTTCTCCTGTCAGCTTTCCCCAACAATCACCAAGTGCCAGATGGGAATCGCCAGCCGGGATCCGGTGATTGACATTTGTAGCAGCCAATAGTGATGCAGGTAGGGCAGCACAAGAGCGCCCCCTACTACCCGGAAATAAAAGTCACGTATGTATACGTGATTTTGTGCAGCCCTGCCACCCTGTAGCAGTACTTCTACTATAGGGCGGCGGGGAAGCAGATAATATACATTTATATATATATATATGTATTAAAAATCCACTGCTAAAGATAAAACCAATTCAGCAAATAAAATATACCGCCTCCGGGTCTCCTGAGGAAGTCCCGCATCACAGGGACGAAACGCGCTGAGATCACGGGGCACACCCCTTTAGGCTCATGGGCGTGGAGTGTACGCCAGCCTGCGGTGGTATTTCCAGCCTCTCTGGCACACGCCAACAGGACTTTGTAACCCCCCCCAAACACGGTCAGTGAGGAAGGCCTTCACCCCTGGTGCCAGGAGCGGGTGAGGCGGCATTCGTTCTTTCAGAAGTGAGGTGCGGACTGCTGACCGTCTCCGCGGTGCAGCTGAGCCCGGAGCTATTGGCTGGCATGAGATCCCAGTGGACGGCGCTACATGTGACTTCACTGATGATTGGGTCAGTACACAACACCAAACTCCAGGATATTAGCACCCCCTCTTCACACCCCCATCACCCCCTCAAATGCCCATTGCACTTACCTGGAGCTGCAGTCACATGACCGTCCTCTCTTCTGTTTATTTCTTGGGGTCCTTCTTCAGGTGTCCATGCAACGCCTGAATATTTAAAAAAAAAAAATGTGTTTAATAAACATTCTGTCCCTTGCCCCGCCCCCTTCATCCATTTGATTTTCAGTTCTTTCGATCATGGAGGCCCAGCATCATCTCACCCTTTTTTCCCCCATCCTGAACGTCCCTAGCCCCGCCCCTTTCATTAACTGGATTTCAGTTCTTTTAAAATCACGGAGGCCCAGCATCATCTCACACTTTCCTCCCCATCCTGAACGTCCCTGGCCCCGCCCCTTTCATTAATTGCATTTCAGTTCTTTCAATCCTGGGGGCTCGGTGTCATCTCACCCTTTCCTCCCCATCCTGTCCCTGGCCCCCCCCCTTCATCCATTTGATTTCAGTTCTTTCGATCATTTTGTGATATGTTACACCCTGAATATGGGTGTAACATGTAACATATCCTTGAAGGTACACACCACCACACAGACCCCGGCACCGCACAGAGCCCGGCACCGCACAGAGCCCGGCACCGCACACAGCCCCGGCACCGCACAGAACCCCGGCACCGCACACAGACGCCCCGGCACCGCACAGACCCCGGCACCGCACAGACCCCGGCACCACACAGACCCCCGCACCGCACAGACACCGCACAGAACCCCGGCACCACACAGACCCCGCACCACACAGACCCCGGCACCACACAGACCCCGGCACCACACAGACCCCGGCACCACACAGACCCCGGCACCGCACAGACCCCCGGCACCACACAGACCCAGGCACCGGCACACAGACCCCCACACCACACAGACCCCCGCACAGACCCCCGGCACACAGACCCCCGCACACACAGACCCCGGCACACCACACACACACCCGGCACCACACACACCCCCCGGCACCACACACACAGACCCCGGCACCCACACAGCCCCGGCACCACACACACAGTGGCACCACACAGACCCCGGCACCACACAGACCCCGGCACCACACAGACCCCCCGCACCACACAGGTGGTGACCACACAGACCCCGGCACCACACAGACCCCGGCACCACACAGACCCCGGCACCACACAAAACCACACAGATATACTACAGACCCCGATCTGAACCCTCCTCTTCAGAGCATAGACAGTGTCTCACATCTCACACGGACACAATTCACATGTTGGCTGCAGTGGACCAATATCCACCCAGAAGTTGTGCGCACAGCTGGAACGCATGCTGCTCAGCCTAACAGAACGCAGGGCAGGTGGTGACCCAAAGTCAACCAGAGAAAAGTTTGCACATGACAGTATTGCATATCCTCTCTCATTATTAAGTTGCAAAAAAAGTTGTGAACATTTGGGATTATCTGTTGCTGTCAACTCTCAAGATGGGATAAAATTGTCACTATCAGTAAGCCATCATTAGGCTGAAAAAACAGTCAAACATCAAGAGATAGCAAAAACATTAGGCGTGGCCAAAACAACTGTTTGGAAACATCTCACAGTGCATGGATAAAAAGTAAGTGAGGCCCTTGAGCTCCCAAGCAAATTGGAGCCAAAAGACCCGGAACCTTGACCCACAAAACAACTGTGGATGTGATGAGCGACAGCAATTCCTTTTAAAGAAAACACACAACTGTTTGGGGTTTACAGAAAAGAAGCACTCTCCAGGTGAACCATGCCTCGCAGAAAAGTGCTGTCAAAGACCTACCAATCAAGAATTGTTGACTTCACCAAGAGGAAAGGTTACAAAAAAGTATCATCACAAAAGAATTCTTGATGTTCATGTGTCCTCAGGTAACAGACATGGTCCTACAAAAGGCCAGATTAGAGTTGCCAAACGACATGTAAAAAAGCCTTTAGCACAGTTCTGGAACAACATCCTATGTGGTCGTCAATGAAACCGACATGCAAGAGTACAGCCAGAGTGATGGGAAGAGAAGAGTATGGAGAAAGAACTGCTCATGGTCACATGCATACCACCTCATCAGTGACATCATGGTGGTGGTAGGTCATGGCAAGAATGGGCAGTACATGGGAGGACCAAGGAACTATTGCTTCTCTTGTAATTTATTGATGATGTGACGGCTGAAGTTTGCAAAAGCAGCCGGATGAATTCCACAGTGTTTCGGGAAAATATTATCGTGGACATGAAACCAAGATTGAGTTCACAACTTTGGGAAGAACACTTCACTATGTGTGGAGAAAAAAAGGCACAGCACACCAACATCAAAACCTCATCCCCACTGTAAAACATGGCGGAGGGAGCATCATGTTTTGGGGCTGCTTGCTGCCTCAGGGCCTAGAGACGTGATTGTTGTGCATTGATGGGAAAAATGAATTCCAGACCTGAATCAAGACATTTTGAGGAAATTATCCATATTCCGCCAAAGAAGCTTCAAACTGAAGGGACAATGACCCAAAGCAACAAGCATTCAACAAAACACAGTTGCAAGTAATAGGCCTTCTGCAGAGCCCATCACCTGACCTGAACCCATTGAAATGCTGTGGCATGACCTGAAGAGAGCGATTCACACTTCAGGCATGTCCAAGAATATTGACACTGAAAGGTTTTGTGAACCAGGAGTGGTCCAAAATTACTCCAGATCGTTGTGAGGTCTGATCTGCAATTATTTTGGTTAGGTTCATTGCT